GTTTCTGATGTGTACCAGGTAAGTACCTGGTGTGTTTCTGATGTGTACCTCACAAGTACCTGGTGTGTTTCTGATGTGTACTAGGTAAGGACCTGGTAAGTACATGATACAGAAAACCAACTGAAATAAGATTTTATTTTACAAGGGTGGCCTGGCCAAGGGATTAATAGCAGACATCATAAACAATAATCAAAAATAAGCAACAACTAAATAATAAAATATACAATTATTATACCTGCATATAAATGGTAACTGTACTTATATAGCTCCTTTCTATCTTATCAATATACTCAAAGTGCTTTACACTACAATCTGTGCCCTCATTTACTGGTTCATAAAGCACTCTAGTATTTGTGCACAAAGAATAATCTGTGCTTTATCACATCCATACACCGATGGGACACACATCGGAGGCAATGAGGGGTTCAGTGTTGTGCCCAGGGACACTTTAGCATGTGACTGCTGGTGGAATCGAACCTCCAACCCTTGAATTGGAGGACGACTGCTCTAACCACTCAGCCACAGCTGCCCCATACATGCCAATAAGTAAAAATAAGCACCTGTTATGTTCCAGGTAAGTACACACCCAATATACATATATATGCCAGGTAAGTACACACCCAATATACATATATATGCCATTTAAGTACTAGGTAAGCACCTGGCTTTATTATATATTGCTACCAAACAAAATGTTCACAGCTTTTGAATCTGACATAGCCAATAAAATCATGTAATATATTATTCTGTAGCACACAAAGAAATATAATGTAAAAAAAAAAACAAAAAAAACCAATGTCCAACTGGACCAAGATTTTTTCAGTGACCCATGAAAAATATGAAGACAGCTCTTAGAAGCAGCTGGAAATTTTTTGATTAAACAAAGATTAAAATTGACCTTTTATGTTGCTCTTCGAATTGTGTCTTTACTGCAAAACAATGATAATTTTTTCTGCAACTAGTGAGACAATATAAAAGATATTCTGAAAAAACTAACATCTGCCACACAGAGGTTTCCTGACTGAGCAGCTGTTTAATGGTTAGAGTTATCATCTGTAATTTTCCACTTTTATGAGACCAAATTCAAATCCATCTGGTTCTTCATAAGTCAAATTCTCAAGTGACTTCTTTCATTTACCCATCTGTCAATCAACAAACACACAGACAAACAAACACACCTCCAGAGCTTGTTTGACACTAGCATAGTCCCCCCTCTCCACAGCTCCCAGGTAGGTTTTCTCCAAAGGCGATAGCTCCGACTCAGCCCGCACAATTCTCAACGGGATGCGGTCCCGGTATGATGAGCTGTCAGTCCGCCTGTAGTACAGCTGTGACATCTCACCTGGCTTCAGCTCACCAGCTCCCTGCAAACTCTACTGCAGCTGTTGCCAGGCTGGAGTTCACACAAGCAGCAAAAAAGACAAAAGGTGTGAGAAAATGAGGAAAGCTGCTGAGGCTGACAATAAGCAAGCACGGAAAAATGTAAAATAAAAGACAAGTTAACAACAAATATAAAGAGGTTCTGGAGAATGATGGAAATGAGACAGAATTAAGCTTTTTGTTCTGTTTTCTATATTTCTGCAAAAATGTGTTTGCTTCAGCAATTTTCTAAACTTAGGGGGGGAAAGACAAAAAAAAAAAAAAACACATGACGTGGCAATTTTTTTATAACTGCAAATTCTTCCATTATTACCTGCCTCTCAGTAACTAATGTACTGTAAGCACGACTGACCAATGACTAATGCAACTAACGCATGCAATGACTAATTCTGTTCTTTGATGCTGAAAATAAAGTTTAGTATTTTTTATTATTTTGATATTAATCTGACCTCCAGTTTTATTATAAATAACTTCAGGTACCACTTTACAATAAGGCTCGCCTTATAGTTGCTAATAAATAGTTAATATATAATTTATTAATACCTCTATAAACACTTTATACATTGTTAATAACTGTTTATTATGCATCAGTAGAGAGACAAAACTGACCAGTTTCTTGCCAAATAGTAAGCCAAATCTGTTCACCTATATATTTAATCTAGAGTTGTTATATTAAACATTTCAGACTAAGTTAATACCTTGTAAACACAATCAACATCCATCCATTATCTTTACCCGCTTATTCCATTTTTGGGTCACGGGGGTCGCTGGTGCCCATGTCCAGCAATCACTGTGCGAGGGGCGGGGTAGACCCTTGACGGGTCGCAAGTCCATCACAGGGCCACATAGAGACACACGAGACAAACAACCATTCACTCTCTCACTCACACCTAGGGACAATTTAGTTACCAATCAGTCTAACATGCATGTTTTTGGTCTGTGGGAGGAAACCAGAGCACCCGGAGAAAACCCACGCATGCACGGAGAGAACATGCAAACTCCACCCAGAAAGGCCCCTGGACCGGGGTTTGAACCAGGGACCTGCTCGCTGAGAGGCAGCAGCTCTACCAGTTGCGCCACCGTGCTGCCCACAATCAACATTTGTAAACCTATTTTTTTAGGCTATAATATTAGCTGTAGAGACTTATAATGCAGTGATAAAGTACAATATTATATCCTAAAAAAATTAGGTTTACAAATGCTTATTGTGTTTACAATGTAGTAACTTAGTCTGAAATGTTTATTATAACAACTCTAGATGAAATATATGGGAGAACAGATTTGGATCACTATTTGGCAAGAAACTGGTCAGTTTAGTCTCTTTTTCATCCTTAATTAATGCATAATAAGCAGTTATTAATGATTTATAAAGTGTGTATAGAGGAATTAATAATGTATACAGAAACCATTAGCATCTATAAGGGGAGCCTTATTGTAAAGTGATACACAACTTCCAAATAAATCTAAATAAAGGCTATTTTTACATTATGTTTCTAAAATGGATCATGAACAAAACACAACACTGTTAAGAACTGGGTTTTTTTTTTTTTTGTTTGTTTTTTGGTAGCTGAAATATGTAAGTCATTGTAACGTGTGAAACAGTCTGTCACAAAAGAAGCTATAAAAAAAAATTGGAAAACGACTAAAGTGCTCTTTCGCCTTGGCTAAAGCTTATAAAGAGGACAATAAAGAGTGTGTGTGCAGGCTGAGGCTGCAGGATGAGCACATACTCCATAAACATTGCTGAGGATTTTTGAATATCAAGATTAATTATTCAGAAGTTCACTGAAAAACATTTTTAACTGAAAACAAAGAGAGGTCATATTAGATCTGCTGATCTGTGAATCTGTTCAAATGAAGCATCATAGCCTGGGCTCATTTTTACTGAAAAAACGCAAGTACAGCTGGTGTGCAGGGCAGATCAAATGATACAGTAGCAGTCATTGCTCTGCAAGAAGGTCAAACCAGATAGTCACTGTTTATGCCAGTGGCATCAGAAGCACTTGTAATGTGGGTGGGACACACTGGTGGTGGGGGTCTGGGGGTCCTCCCCCAGAACATTTTGCATAAAGTAGATGCCATTTCATGCATTCTGGTGTATTTTAATGGGTTGTTAAACATCTACTGTACATTTACCTACATAAATAAACACTTGATTCAATAATTACTTTAGAGAACATGGCACCCCACCATGCCCCCCAGTAGATAAATGCCAGCACTAACATAGATCTAATACAAACGTGCTAGCTAAGATGCTACAGACTTAGTGCTCAGCTTCTCTTACGCATCCTAACCCCCCACCCCGGTCAACAACGTCTCGCACTAATGTGGAGCTAAGCTAGCATGCAACGCAGACGTGTCTCCCCATCCTCCCCCCATTCTGTCAAGTGACCTGGGAGAGACACTGCATGTGGTGTGGTGAGTTGCTGTAGGTAACCAGGAAAACCTGAAGTGGACTTTTAGTGGTTTGAGTGTTCTCCTATTAATCAAGTGGAATGGATTTGTTCATGTAGCAATAGAAACAGCGCTGGGTGAATTTATATTTCATGATAAATGTGTGTGTGTGTGTGTGTGTGTGTGTGTGGGGGGGGGGGGGGGTCCAAACAATTTTTTTTTTAATTGTTAGGGGGACACGTCCCCTTCACATAATTGTTGCGACGCCCATGATTTATTCAAATATTTACAAAGATAAGAGGCTTATCTTTGTTTCATTGTTTGTTCTTGTATTTTGTTTATATTAATAGTTTTGTTTCAACTTTTAGGATAATAAAACCTAAAACAAACCTAATGCTTAAAGTCAAATTTATGCAGAAAAAAAAATGCTGAAGATGCTTCAACCTTAAAACATCACCAATAAAATCCATGCATCACCAAAGGTAAAGTTTAGCATGTTCATACCAATCATATACCGATAATTCTGTGAGACACATTCTTTAATCAACACAAAAATTTCTAATAAAAGGTCTAAATTCCCAGAATGACGACATTTGCAATTATTTTGATTATTAAATACATGTGAGAAGAGGAAGACTCTCCAAACTTCAAATCTACATTGTCACTGAAATGCAAGAAGCTTTTCACCATTTATCATCATTTGAAAATGTAACTGAATTTGCATAAATAAATGATGGCGGCATACAGCGACATGGTGGAACGGTGGTTAGAGATGTTGCCCTTACAACAAGAAGGTTGCAGATTCACTTCCCGGCCTTTCTGTGTGGAGTTTGCATGTTCTCCCAGTGCATGCTTCGTTTCCTCCCACAGACCAAAAGCATGCATGTTTACGCTATAAGGTTCATCTAAATTGTCCCTAGGTGGTGCAAAGACTGAATAGTTTTTGTCTCATTTGTCTCAATGTATCTGTGATGGACTTGCAACCTGTCCAGGGTTTACCCAGACTCTTGCACAATAGCCACTGTATGCACCTGGAAAAGAGACGTAACATTAATGGATGGAGGGAAACTCTTTTGGCCAAAGTGTTTGTTTTTCATTGTCTGAAAAGTTGCATTTCTGGTGATACATGGTTCATGCCCAACATGAACAAAACACTTTTTTTTTTTTTTAATGAAAGGGAATGTTTTTATATGCAGTCACATAAATCCTATCGCAAACTCAGTCAGAGACCAAAATAATTTTTCTGTTAACCCCCAAGATATTTTCATATGATCTTCAGAAATTATTTACTGAAGAACATATTGATTTTATTTGTACCAATTACATCGCCTGTGAGAGGGTTCCAGTTGAAATTCCCTGATCATTGCAAAAAAAAAAAAAAGAAAAAGAAAATTGGCGAGAGAGGTGAAGCACCCACACTTGCCTCCACTCTCATTTGCCACACTCTGGGCCCTTTAGCCTCTGCTCCCAGGGCACCTTGGATGACAGCCCCTCTGCTCCACACGTGGGCTGTGGTAGTTCGGTGGTCAGTGGTTGCATCATCAGGTAGAGTATACGGCTAGACAAAAACTTCATATTTAAACCATAGTTCAGTGTCTGTGCTTTGCTTCAGTCATAAATGAAGTAAATCGCTGACACTTAGAAAACAAGAGAACTAACACAAAATCCTGAGAAGCTGGGTCATAAAAAAAAAAAATCCATAAAGGAGTTCTAGGAGTCTTTAAAGTCCCACGACGGTTCATTACTTTTACATTAATGAGCACTCCAATTAGTTTATAGGAACCAAAGGAAAAACAGCAGTTCATTCTATAAATAATTTAAATTTATGCAACAAACTAAAACCTTGGTCCTAAAATGGCACATTTAAACTAACTGTTCAAGAATTTTGCGCTTATTGGCTTTCTTGCTGAAAGTTTCATAAGAAGTTTGAACTCTAAGTTTTATTTATTTAGCTTTTATTTTAATCTAAATTACCAGTATATACTGTATGTATATATTGTCAATAAACCAGGTGTCTGTAGTATGAAGCCTGATCAAAAGTTCTCCTCAGCAACAGCTAAGAATGATAATGTGTAACCAAAGTTTTACTGTTTTAATAATGTGTAACCAAACTGTTTTACTAAATAATCAACACATAATCAACTGATAGAAGTATTAATCTTTAAGACATTGTATAATCCTTTGTATGTTTGTGTGAGATGGTAAAAGTAAAGAGGCCTCATGTAACACAGAAACAAGTCTGGGCATGCCTCGAGCCATAGAGGAAAACAGGAAGTCACAAGGTTTAAACACGACTCCTCTCATGATGACTCATCTTTGAGCAAAACAAGTTTTGGAAAGTCCCAGAAATCTGGTCTAAACCGGTTGAGGTGCAAAACAGCACAGAAGTTACTGGAAAAAAGATGATGTAATTTTCCATAACCCCTCCTTAAGAGGAGGAGGGATGAATGAGTCTTTAAATACAGACTGACCAGAACAAAGCTTGGTCAATGCAAAGTTGGAGTTGAACTGGAGGAGCTGAGCAGAGAGGACTACAGGCGATGAGCAAACTCTTCGAATCAGA